GTATAATATTTGTTTATCATTTGAAATCTGCAATTTTGAGCTTATTAATTGTTTTTTTTCTTTAATTGAAACTATTTGCATGAATTTTTGTTTGAATTTTGTTTCATATTGAAGATTATTTGAAGATATAGGGTTTCCCGACGTTCGAATGTTTTCTCTGTTTATTGTTCAATTGAACACACAAAACCACAATAAATGTTCGATTGAATTTTGTTTAGATTGTTTAGTTGTTTGTTTTCTCGTTGAATTTTGATTGATTTTTTATTTTTTCATGATTTAGTTGTTTTCGTCGTTGATTTATTGTTTTTGAGTTTAGTTTCAGTACTTGATGATGATTTGTACTCGATGATGTTTTGTACTCGATGATGATTTGTGCTCAATGATGTTTTCGCTGTTAATTCATTAGTTTTTCTGTCTCTACTGTTTGAATGAAGTTTACCGGATTTTTGAGCTTGAATACTTTGGTTACTGGCCTGCATTATGTAATTTGTAATGGTTCCGTTTTTTAGGGTTGATTCTTGTGATTCTCTAGTCTTAAATTTTTGGTCATTATTGTTTTAGAAAGGTCACTATAATTTACATTTTGATTTCTTTTGTATAATAATGGTGCCAAAGGCTTGAAGAAGAAAACTAGAGCTATCAAGAAAAAGAGTGTTGCTATAGAGGTTCATGAAGATGTTCTTGAGCATCAAGTTTCTGCAATTGGTTCACCTTCATCTTGTCGTAAGAGAACTCATGAAGATGAAGCTGAAGCTGCTGCTCTTGCTCATCCTAAGAAGCCAAGGACAAGAACGAAGAAATCAATAGTTGAAGCTGGTGAATCTGGTGGTGATGTACCTATGTAAGTAACTTTATTTACTTTGGAGTGCTCTAAAAAAGTCAGATTCAACATGTATGTTGGTGTGACTATGCAAATTTGGGTCTAGATTGTGGTTAAGTTGTGCTTCTTTGACCTTTAATTATTGGCCACTAATTTGAACTTGTCAGACTACATTGATTTTTTGATTTGTTAGCTTAATGTTGATTTAATGTTGATATCATTATTATTTCTATTTTGCAGATTGCGGCCATTTAAAACTAAATGTAGGCCTTTGCATTTGGTTGACATGACGTCTAACTTTACTCTTGATCAAACAAATTCTGTAAATGAAATCGGTTTTGGAGGGTTGTTATCATTGAAGTTGAAAAGGAATCCTGCTAGTATGTACAGGTGGCTAATTGATTCTTTTGACTGTGGTAGCTGCATGTTTTCAATCGATAATAATGAGTTTGTGGTGAATGAGTATGGTGTATATGACGTGTTTTGCCTTCCTTTGAACCCCAAAAATGTTGAGGAGATACCTAGATCTGCTAATAAAAATAATCCAGACTTTGTTTTAAAACATTATTGGAGATTACATTTTGGGTTAACAGATGAAAATGATCAAATTCCACTTAATTTGTTAGAATTTAGGATACCTACTTTAGGTCAAGGTGGAAATGAGTTTAAGCAACTCTTTGTTATGCATGCAATATCCACATTTTTAGCTCCTACTTCTAATAGAACCGTTGATCTTAGGATTGTCAAGGCACTTGATGATGTTGAACAAATTAAGAATTTGAATTGGTGTAAATATGTTCTTGAAAAACTGTGTGAAGGTGTTAAAAGTTACAAAAAAGGAGAAATTCAGAACTATTGTGGTTGTATTTTGATGTCAGAGATTATTTACTTCTATAGGTTGAAATTTAGGAATGTTGAATTAAGTACTTCTTTACCCTTAATTCAACATTGGAATGATAAGTTGATTAGGGATAGAATTAAGAAGGAAAAATTGTCCAAAAGTTTTGGGTGTGGGATTTTACTCTCTGATGTGTATCCTGTTAGTGGTAAATTAAAGTTTCTGAATGGACATGTTGTGGGTACTACAGGGGGAAGTATGGGGAATGTTGGGGGGAGTGATAATGTTGTGAGGAATGTCGGGGGGAGTGCTGATGTGCCTGATTCCCAGGGTATAATACAATTCATTTTCCCACAAGGTTCGATGTCATATCAAGAAATCCATTCGGCTGCTATTGATGTAAGGAGTAGCTGACTTTTATTTTATATTATTACTTTTATTATTGGATATGATTTAAATGTTTATACATGTTTTTTTAATGTTTTTGCAGCCCATTCATGAGCAATTTTTGTTCATGAAAAGAGATATGCATGTGATCTCTTGTTTTTACAATGACAAGATAAAAGAGGTTCTTCTTTCACGTCGTGAGGCCAACAACTGTTCTGGTATTAATTTGTCCCAGTATGATTCGTTTTTTATGGATCCTCGAGTTCAATATGTGATTGACGAGATCTCTGAACTTGCTCTTTGGGTGACAAAATTTCCTGAGGTGTTGGATCAAATTTCTACATTTGACCACAACAAAACAAATGGAGGGAAGGAGGCAATTAGAGGCACTTTTCCTGTGATTGGCTTTGAAAATATTCTTGCAAATGGAAGGTCAAGGTGTTTGTTTTCTTTGGATAGGAAATCTGATGAAAAGCTTATACTCATTTCACACTTTTTGAAGTGAAATAACAAGGAAATGAAGATTGTTGACTATTGCATTATTAATGATTCTTGTTTGGCTCCAAAATAAGTAATCTTTTGTTTGATTACACTGATTTTCTCTTATTTATTTATTTATTTATTTATGAAACACCTTTTTAATTCTTATTTTATAATCTTTGACTCAGTGAACTGTTGGTATTTTTTCACGAAAAGCATTTGATTCAAAGGCAAGAATTCTACACATTAAAAGAGCCTTCAAAAACCATGAGTAGTAGTATTTTGGATTGTTGGGCATTGCTTCTCAATTAAAATCAGAAATATTTGAAGGATAGACCTCGGAAATTGTACTTTGGTTCTTCAATTAGTGTGAGTTATTTAATTATTTCAATGTTTATACATGTTTATACTTTTTACTTTTTTTGATTTGTTAAAATATTATGAAGGTTACAGTAGTAGAAGCTGCTGGTAGTGATGGCAATTCACAACTAATGGACAATGTTTATCAAGGTTTGGAGGAGTAGATGAAAATAGCTTGCAATGATTTTAATTTGTCAGAAGTGGAGCTGGTAATATTTTCTGTTTTTTTATGCTTTGAAAAATACAGTTCCCTTTTTTTATGTTATAGATACCTTTTTTTAAATGAGAGTGACTATTGAAAATTGCATAAGTATATTTTTAAAAGAGGTCAATATAATATCAAAAATAGAATCTATATGTGTTTTTTTTTATTCTGACTAATGGTAGTATTATTGTTGCATATATTTTTACCTTATCTTTGGGGCAATCACTATTGCTTATTTGTGGTGAATTTGACTAAAGGAAAAATTCAATTTATTTATAATCTGAATTATGATGAGGATAATCGTATCTTTTTGAAAAAGTTGTCTAGTCTCCTGGTATTACTTTCTCACTCTTCCATATTTTCACAATTAAGTTTATTGTTTATTGTTTGTATTGACTTGTTTATAGTGAGCCACATATTCTCACTCTTTTTCTTGTCTGGTGCTTCTGTGGTTGTTTAATGCGACTGTGATCTAATTATATGCTTTTTTTCTAGTGTGATATGATCAATACCTTCTTTGATCAAATGTTAACTTAATCTGGAGCTATGGTTGACTACGCTTTGGTGTTTCCTACTTTGAATTGGAGATCTAGCAAAGATAATTCAGATTCTGGTGTTTATATTATAATGAGCATGCTTTTATTCAATGGAGCTGATGAGTTTAAATGTTAAATTGTAAAAACAGTTATGATTCTTTCCCTTTTAAATTATTTGTTTTATTTCTTTTTATTAATATCACAATATCTTATATTGATTACTTACTTTTTTAGGCTTCAAATAGGAAGATTCTCCGTATTCAAATTGCTACATCTTTGGTGTTATCTGATATGAATGAAGCTAGATAAGTTATAATTGGTAAAGATGGCTGAGTTCAAATCTGATAGGCAGTGTCTTTCAAAAGAGGTTGTAGAAAGAAGAAAGAAAGAGATTGAAGAGAGGAAGAATAAGAAGAAGCTGACTGAAGACAAGAAGAAGAAAGGAAACGGGAAGGCTTAAGATGTCAGAACATTGTGTAACTAATATTTTGACTTAGTTATGATCATAATTTTCTGATGCTAAGCAAAGTACTTTGAACATTGTATAGCTAAATAGTATTAATTCAATATTTGTGTAGGTTATTGAAGATTGGAAAAATATTCATTTCGTGTAAACAAGCATTTGCCAACATTTTATGAAAATGGTATATTGTTTGTTTAATTCAATTATTAATGTTCTCTGTTATTAAAATAAAAAAAGGTCTCTATATTAACATACGGGTGAATATGTTAATGTGAATTGTTATTATAAACTTATCTTTATAAAGGTCTTTATGTGATAATAAAGGTAACTATGTTAATATTAGAGGTTAAATATATATTGAAAAGGTTTACGATGAAATGTCACTATATTATCATAGGTCACTATATGTTAAAATAAAGTCACTATATTTTTTATAAGGTCTTTGTTTGGTTAAAAAAGGTCACTTCGTTTTCAATATTGTATAGTGTCAAAATTAAGGACTATGTTAAATTAATCGTAATTATTGTAGGCCACTATATGTTAAAATAAAGTCACTATTTTATTAATAAGGTTACTATTCTAAATATAAAGGTAACTATGTCAAAATTATGGACTATATGTTAATTAATGGCGAAAAACTGACAATACAAGGTTATGAAATAAAGATTACTATTTAGGAATAAAGATCACTATATTTTAAAAAAAAAAAAAATTACGATTCCAAAAAATTTATATCTCAAAATGAAAGGTTACTATGCCAATCATAAAAAACACTATATCATATTAATCAGTATTTAAAAGATATAAAGTTTCCAAAAATGAAATTACAAATAAAATGTAACCATGTAACAATACAGGTTACTATGAAAAAATTTGGTGTTCTTAAGACAAAATTTGATTTCTTTAGACTATTAGAGCATATACTTATTATTAATATTTGGTGTTTTAGCACCAAATTCTCTATGCTTCCTCCTCTTCCCCTTTTTCATGTAGTCATAGCTTCCTGGAATCCTTTTATTTGATTGTTTTCCTTTAGTTTTTGCACGAGCTGGGTCCAGTACTTGAACAACACTAGATGAAGTTGCTTCTGAATTCTCTTTTACACCTGTAGTGTTCTCAGAATGGTTGTTAGTTGATTTCATAGCAGAAATAATCTCATCTATTGCACTTGAATCTTTTAGGAAGCTTTCTTCTAAGACTTTTCTTGCTTGTTCAAACTTGTGGCTCTTAAGGATTAGACTATAATACTTCCTCACCATGTGTAGCCGCCCGGGTGTGAAGTTGTTTAATGTCCCCTTCTTCTTTTGCTTTGCCTCCTTACTTTTCCAAACTTCAACCTTAGCCATTTTAGTCCACCTGAAAAATATGTATTGCTCTGGGATTTTTTCAACAGAATGCATGTGCAAGATTCTAAGGCTATGGAAGCATAACCAACCCGACTCTTCAAAATTCTTGCATGGACATTGAGTTGTTTGGTTTGCTGGATCGTAAGTTACTGCTGGAGTTGTGCCATCTCTGCCTTCAAGGTACACTTGGTAAACCATTTTGCCTCCATTAATCAATAGCAGATTAGTTTGAGATCCAATGGCTAGGTTGAATTCTTCTTCAAAGTCGCTGAATAATGTATGTGTATAAACCTCAGCAGCATGTTTAAGTAAGGCAAAATTGGATAACTTGAAGTAGGAATTGATTTTGTGCTATTGAACTCATAAAAATCCTTATTCCTTCTCGAAGTCTTCACTGTCTTTTGAAATATGTTGTAGAATTCTGTCAAACTTGTCTTCTTGTTTGCTTTGAATCCCACTGCATGATTTGTGCTCTCACTTCTTTGTGACGACAAGATTCCTGCGGAAAAAAAGTCCTTACTTAGAGCTGTTGACCACTTATGCTTTAGTGAGTATAACCTTTTGAACCAACTGTCGTTTTTCAGCTTGTACTTTGTCATCATTGAATCCTAACATACTTCAAACTGAGCTTTGTAAATACAACCACTCAAGCATTTCGTGAAAGCATCTTTGAATGTGTCATCACTCCACAAAACTCCAAATCTTGTTACAACACTTTGAATCAAATGCCATAGACATAGCCTATGTTTAGTGTTTGGAAATACCTGTACATTTTCATACAGTTACTATAGTTTCACAAATGGTTACTGCATTTAAAATAGAGGTAACTAAATATAATTTCAGTACAAACATATTTAGATGTAGTATTAACCAAATTACCTTGGGTATTGCTGCTGCCATGGCTGCATCTTGGTCTGTAAATAGTGAGACAGGAGATTTACCACCCATTACCTTTTTGAAGGTCTCAAATAGCCACACAAATGACTCTATGGTCTCATCACCAATAAAAGAACAAGCAAACATAGTGTTCTTCCAGTGGTTGTTTATTCCTACAAAGGGTGCACAAATGAGGTTGTAACAATTCGTCCTATATGCAGTGTCAAATACAGTGACATCCCCATATATTTTGTAATCTTCAAGCATCATAGAATCCCTCCAAAACAAGTTACAAACCCTTCCATCTGCGTCCAACCTTACTCTGAAAAAGAAGTTAGGGTCTTCAGAATAAGCTTCCTATAATTTGTCACCAACTACTTGAGAATCTCCTCCTTCAATGGCCTTTATTTTCAATTTATAACAATAATTCATGTGGTCTTTCACTGTATGACCAATAGCATCTTCTCCTCCAGCTTCATTTGACATGTAATTAAAGGATTCCATAGGTCTTAGTCCAGATTCTTGCATGGCCTCAATCACTTGCTCTTTAATTTGAGTGGATGATTGTGCATCACACATGCTGAGCTATCTCAAATTACCCCTCCTCATTCAATTTGGCTATTATCAAAACATTACAGTTCGTCCTTGTTATTGGAACTCTCCTACTTTCCTCTGTCAAGAGTTCTGGAATTTTTTTTCTTCTTTTTACCAGAATTTCTCAATCCAACTGCAGATCATAAAAAGAAATTTTTGGTGATAATATCTTTAGTTCCTGTTTTGCTTTTCTAACACTAAAACCAACTGCAGTAGCATGTTACAATACAATTCATGTATTTCTGCAAGTGTTGCTCGAGTTTCTCCTACTAACCAACCACTAATCTCTTCATTATTATTTGCACCATCCATAATTATCATTTATATAGGTCAAATTGGGGATATGGCAATTGCACTCTAAAGTCTACAGTACAGCAGACATATTAGAAAAGCACTAACCATCATGTAAGTACCATGTATTTATGCTATATAAAGTTATAGACAAGATCATGAAGAAGATTGATATAATTTAAATGCAAACATGAGGAAGACTGAAGTCTTCACAAGGCAAAATAAGATACCTTGACATTGCAGGAAACCACCTCCTTCTTATACCCTGACAATCTAACATTCCCATTAACATATGACCTATTTTAAAAAAGGTTTAAAATAGATCACTACACTATCGCTAAAGGCAACTATATTACTTAAAACTGGCTTTGCATGTCTCTAACTACTGTAAACCTATTTATTTTCAATTAATATAAATTATGTACTACTAGTTGCAATTATACGAATTAATACCTAAATGCCTAATTTAATTTTCCAAACAAACAATTGCAATTGCATAATTGCTTAATTCACATTATCAAATTCTAAAATCAATTGCATATATATTGCAGAATACCTTGAGCTTCCATTACATGTTGATTTTCCTCCTGAACTTCATTCTCATCCTCAGCTTCAATAATAGCTTGTTCCACATCTTCAACAGCGTCATCTTCTTGTTCAAGTTCGAATTGAATGGGATGATGATACAAGCTTTCTATATTTGACAAATCAGACAATGATCAATAAATTTGCACAGTTTGATCAAAATCAATTAGATGATCAGTAATAATTCTTACCGTCATAGTTGCTTTCAATTTGAGCTTCATCGTTCAGATCGAAATTGATGACATTAATATCGAAGTTTTCTATGGTATCCTGTATATTTCGATTTAGATCAATTTCAATTGATTGTATAGAAGATTTTTCCATGAATTTTGCATAAATTGATTGATTATGGAGAGATAATTAACCCTAGAATTGATTAGAAGGAGAGAGAAAAAAAAACTTCGAGCTCTATTACGAACAGATTATGGCGTAGATGATGAAGTTGCAGGGGAAAGAGAATTCACCGTTTTCTTTTGTTTGGGGTTTTACGGGTTTAAAGTCTCGGAGTCTGTGGGCTGGGATTGCTGCTTGATGGGTTTGGCACATGATATTTTGTGGTCCACCCAAAATTTTTTATAAGAATGTATCTTGTAAATAGTAATGTAATAAAAATCAAAATAATGCAATTATTTAAAGACAAGATTACTATTAATGTAGAGTATTGCGTACGGCAAATGGAATCTGTTTCGGGAATCAAGATTGTAGATGATGTAAGTAATCTTTGATTCTAGTTGTCGGCTATAATAATGTCATTGATAACTCCCTGCCTTAAATTCCGCACGGTTTGGAGTGGGGCAAAGAACAAGCTATACTTCCTCTATTTCAATTTCAACTATGCGGTTCATCTTATTTTTCTCCAAAATTTAAATGTGAGCTTCTCATAACTTATTTTTATTTAATTTGATTAAAATAAGTCAAATAAAATAATTTTAAACAAATAGAGCTTTAGTTGACACATCTTGAATTCTTGATTCTAGATACTATTCACATAATTAAGTAATCCAGTTGTGATGTATGCTAGCTTATGACTTTTATGAGAATATATAATCATATGGAGTTTTATTATATTCATCTGATTATATAATTTCTAAGTATAAACTTTTAAGTATTGAATAGTTGAGGATATAATGTTTGGAATCGTATACTATTAGCATACATGCCAAATAAATGTACTCCGTACCAGCAAAGAACAAATTAAAAAATTTGTCACTTGACCAAAATTATAATGAAAATGGACCAGATCGAACCTGTCCAAAGAGAACTAGTTTGATCTCTAAGTCAATAAGTATTTCCTCCAATTTTTGAGTTCTATTCATTTATCGTTTTAACCTATTATTTAAAGTTTATTTTCTTTTACTTTATTCCTTTAATTTAATGACAACCTTTTTATTTTTATTTTTTTATCACCTACTACCCTACGTTGTGAGGTCCAATTATATTAAACAAATCTCTTATATTCTTCTTCTATAAGCCACTTTGAAGCAAAAGTAGTCGCATGCTAGCATGGTCCCTATTTCTATTTTTCCTTGGCTTCATGCCTTCATATAACTACAATAATTAAGTAAAACTTAGAAAAACGAAGGGAATACGATTTTTTGATTTTCTATCTAGTCTGGTCTAATAATTTTTTTTTAAAAAAGTCGATCTTAAATCGAATCGATATTTTGTTTAAAATTATGCATATAATATAAACCGTTAGGATGACTAATATGTCATGAAGGTTTTATATTTACATTTATTTAATATTATGCTTTCAAAAAGACAATAAACAATAATTAGCTTTCTTTTACTTATTGTTTCTTTTTCATATCATTATTATAAATATTAATATATTTTAAACTATAGGAAATATTAAATCGAATTGATCCAGTTTTTGGCCGAATTTTATTGATCCGGTCTAGGTCTAGTCTGATCTTTGAGTCTCAACTTTTAACAACAATACCATCCTTTCTAACTTTACTAAAATTTATCAGAATCCCAATACCATTCTTTCTAAATATATTACTAAAAAATTTCAAAATCTCGATTCTAACAACAATACCTTTCTCCTGAGGTTCCTATAAAAAATCTTCCTAGTATTGGTTTGTTTTAACTTATTTTGATTTATTTTATAAATAGGTTATCCCCGTGCAATGCACGGCTAAAATTAATCTTTCTTGTAATATGTTCTGTTGCATTACATTGTATATAAGGATTAGATTAGATATAAAAATAATTTATATAGTTAAGAATGTATGAACCACATTATTTACATTTAATAGTTGAAATAGTCAAAAGTTATTTAAAGATACATATTGATGAAATCTGAAGAAAAAAAATATACAATATACAATTAACACTAACGTCATCAAAATTATTATATTAGCTTCCAATAATAATTAACAGGTTGTATAGTAGTCTCTACAAGCATTTATTTGATTTTTTAGTCTAATTCATACAACAATTTTCAAAGCAATAAAAATAGAGTAGTTTAGCTTTAAAATAAATAAATATAAAAATAATGTCATCAAAGCATTTAGGCAGAAAATTTTTTCATGAAAAAGCGACAAGTGTACAAATTTAGAGAAAGATGATATTGGCATGTTTTGTTTTAATATTAGTTATTAGTTAATAGATAATATAAGAGAACATAGGGCTAGCTATAACAAAAATACAAATAACCCTAACCTCTTTCTTCTCTTTGTAAAACCCTACCCTCGGCCTCTATTATATTGTTGAATTTTGGATGACGAAGTCATTTATAAATTGGTATGGACGAAGTCATTTATTTATCAAAAAAAAGGTAAATGGTGCCATAAATAAAATCTTCAAGTGTGGAGTAGTTATTAGTCAAGATAAATTGTTTGAAAAATATCGAACTCTTAGTATTATTGATAAAAAAAAAGTTTAGTACAAGTATAAAGTAAAATTCATTGTACAAATAGGTACCAAAATCCAATTACTTGAATTGGCTATCTAGCTTGGTAAAATTGATGACAATAGACGCAACAAAGACGAACTCGTGCATTTGACCACCGAAAGTGAATAGAAGAGTTTGGCATTTGGCAATGGAGGAAAGAATTTTGACAAAGTAGAGAGGCCATAAATGGATAGGCGGCCACGGCCAACATATTTAATTGACTTCTACTTTCATATAGTTACACTAAATGTTATACATTTTCTACCTATCATAAATTTGGACCAACCTAATGCTTCCAATAAATTGACTACACCATCTTAACAAGTTATTAATTGGTACAAAAATAAATAGTACATACTTGTATAAAGCTGTAACTAGTAAAAGTATGAAGTACTAGTATAACAAGACTGACGAATGTCAATCTTTAATAAACATTCTACAATTTAAAGGTGAAAAGCAAAACATACTGGTTAGATTTTTTTTTTTTTTTTTTTTTTTTTTTTTTTTTTTGAATAACTTACCTTTTATAGGGCATCAAATGCAAATTTATTTATACTTTTACTTTCAATACTTTCATTACAGCAATACTATATTCAAGTACTTCCCTCAGTTATATGGTACGATGACTTTCCCCCTCACTCCCAAAGTGTCTGACCCGTAAATATCAAATCAAAAAAACTGTAAGGGTTAAGGTATGATCAGGGTCCTTCTCCATAACAAATAAAAATAAATTACTCTCTCTGTCCTATAATATATTACACAGTCAACATTACACATGCCAATGCACTAGTTTGACTTTATTTTTATATAATTAAATATTCATATAAATTATTTTAATAATTATATTATATATGAAACTTTATATTAATACCTATCTAACGACATATTTTATGATAAAATATGTTTTTATTATATTAGTAAAAAATTATGGACAAAGCTAATGCATGAATAGTAAAAAACGTTCAACGTCTCATGTATTATGGGACGGAGGGAGTATATAGTACGGTGACCCAATTTTTGAGATAGTCCCAATTTATCACCTTGATAAACAAAATTCGTTTATAAAGTGGCAAAATTGTAAATAAATCAACAATAATGTCTAATCAACATGACATTTTTGTAAATATATCAACAATTGTAAGACCCATATTTAACAATAAGTTTTGATTTATTTACAATAAACAAATTTTGTTTATCAAGGTGATATACTTGTATTTTTTCGTTAATTACTCCCCTCGCTTTTTTGTCCTACTATAAATATAGATGCAAATCAATATCAAAGGGGTAGAGTTAGAGAGAAAAAAACTTATTCGTTGCTTTCTAGAATAGATGACACACTTTGACTCTTTTCACTATTCATATACTAACTTTGACTATCCATTTTACTAATATTTGCGGTCAAAATTAAGCATTAATTGTCATATTTGCCAAATTTAACTGTGTTAGTCATTTTGAAACAAAGAGGGCATTTAATTGTTTTTAACTCTACCTTTATTTTGAAGTAATTGCAATTTTTTATTTTGGTCAAAAGATTTTTTTTTTTTTTTTTTTTTTTTTTTTTTTTTTTTTTTTTTTTTTGTGAACAGTTGGTCATAAGGAGAAGAAAGGGCATATGAAACAATGCAACTATTATACGCAGTATACATTTTTATTTTTAATTTTTTGGGAAGGACATAGTATACATGATGCATGCTAACGTTAAGATTGAGATGGAAAATGTAAGGATATCTAATTCATTTTAACTAAAAAGTTTTACTAGAAAAAGAAATAGTGCAACTACTGTGAAATTTTCTTTATAGGAAATGGTGCGAATGTTTTGAAATGGAGGGACACCTTTTATGCAAGATAGAAAAAAAGATCACGGTATCTCATCATTACAGTTAAGGCCTTGTTTGGGATTTTTCCCCAAAGTGAGCTTATTTGTATTTTGCAAATTGGTTGCGTGGCAAAATTATTTACCAAACTAAGCTTACAGGATAAAACGCCGTCTTGGACAACATTTTATGCCCTAGTTTTTTTTAAAAAAATTCAATTTGTAAAACGCTGTCTGAGACAACGTTTTACCTATTGACTTTTTTTTTTTTTAAATTTCTTATTTTCTAATTTTTTTTTTAAAAAAAATCAAATACACATAAGACGCTGTCGGGACAGCTTTTTATGTACAAAATTTTTGTTGCACATAAAACGCTGTCTGAGACAGTGTTTTATGTACAAATTTTTGTTGTACATAAAACGCTGTCTGAGACAGCGGTTTATTTACAATTTTTTTTTGTACATAAAACGCTGTCTCAGACAGCGTTTTTTTTGCTGAACTGCAATATCAGCAGCAAGCAGGCTTTCTTCTCTAATTTCTGCCCCCAACACACCACCCCCAGCCTTCAATAAGCCACCACCCTCAACCACCACCCCCACCACCAACCCCTAC